AGGAGGCGGGCGGCAGCCCCAGGCACACGCTGTGTCACCCAGACCCACCGGTAGGCGTGACGCGTGGAGCAGGGTCTTGAGCAGACACGCGCCGTGGCCACAGCAGCAGTCACGGCGGTGGGAAGGCGGGGGCAGCCCGAGTGTCCGTGGACGGAGGGTGGACACAGTGCGGCCACCCCCACGACGGGGGCTCCGCAGCCTTAAAAGGGAGCGAACCCGCACCTGCTGCGACGCGGAGAGACCCTGGCGGCGCACGTGCAACGAGGCCGTCACGCAGGGCACGTTCAGTGTGACCCCACGTGAGGTCCTGAAGGGTCAGAGCCACAGAGGCAGAAAGTAGGACGGTGCGTGGCGGGGGCAGGGGCGGGCATTTGGGGGGAGAGGGTCTGTTTGGTAAAATGAAGAGAGTCCTGCAGCCCAGCCGGTGTGGCCCGTGGCTGAGCGTCGACCTGTGAACCCTGAGATCAGGGTTTGATCCCCGGTCGGGGCACCTGCCTGGGCTGCAGGCTGGGTCCCCAGTGCGGGGCGTGCAGGAGGCAGCCGATCCATGCTTCTCTCACCATTGACGTTTCTCTCTCTCCCTCTCCCTGCCTCTCTGACATCAACACAAATACATTTTAAGAGAGAGAGAGAGAGAGACAGAGAGAGAGAGTCCTGGATGCTGGCGGGGCGGCTGCGCGATGATGTGAATGCACTCCATGCCACCAAGCTGTGCACCTAAAGGTTAGAATAAATCGCAGGTTTTGTGTTCTGTGTATTTTACTATTTAAAAACCACAGTATAGCCCTGGCCGGTTTTGCTCAGTGGATAGAGCGTCGGCCTGCAGACTGAGGGGTCCCACGTTCGATTTCGGTCAAGGGCATGTACCTGGGTTGCGGGCACATACCCAGTAGGGGGTGTGCTGGAGGCAGCTGATCGATGTTTCTTACTCTCTATCCCTCTCCTTTCCTCTCTGTAAAAAATCAATAAAATATATTTTAAAAAAATAAAAACCACAGTATACGCACGGTTAGTTGGTTGTTTGCTTTAACGGTTCCAGTCACAGAATAGAGAATGGGAGTGGGGGGCTGGCCTGCAGGCGGCTGGCAAGGACTCGGGCCTGGCTGAGTGGCCCCCTGGTGCCTGGGGGTGGGGGGCAGGAGCCTAGGGGATGGGCAATGTCCGGCGAAGTCCGGGACAGCAGGAGCGGGGCAGCCCAGCGCCGTCAGCAGGAGGCTGCAGATGGGGCAGGCCTGGGCAGGGAGTCTGGTCTGTTTACATGCTCGCAAGGAACGTGTCTGGGCCTGAGATGGGGTGCTCGCCAGGGTCTGCCAGTCTGGGAGGTGGGCACAAGGAGGACCAGAGGGGAAGATGTGCCCAGTACAGCCTCTCGGAGAAGGCAGGGCCCACAGCATCGCTTCTTGGTTCCCGTGGGCCTTGCTCCCCGGCCCCTGCCCCGCCAGCCAGCCGCCAGCAGCTGGGGTCCCG